CTCCACCCAAGAGAGGGTGAACTTGTCCAGTATGACTCAACAAGAGAATGTTCAAATATATCCTCAGTTTTCTAGCTTACGATGTTCCCTCATTCAGACACATAATTATCCTCATGCATTTTACAAGGAGAACAGGTACAAATAGTGTGCTGTTAATTACGTTAAGTTGCAAAAACAGAGTGATCTCATATTGGAATGCTGAGCAAAGAAAAACTTAAGTGCACTTGAGGATGTGGATTTTTTTTTTAATATATTTTTACAAGTGAAACATTTAAAAATCTATTTTAAGTTCCTGTCCTCCAGGGAAAATGGGTAACATTTAAGAACCTAGAAGTGGACAATGTTCTTTATATTAGTGACAGACAGTATATTATGAATTGGTACTACTTCCAGAAAATCAGTATGCCATTCACTTTGATGAAAAGACAGCGTCAGTCCTCTGGACTAACATTTAGACCTAGGGTGGACTTTGTTAGAAAATTTGCTGCAGGACAGTAAGACCAGGCTACTGATTGGAAATTTTAATCATTTCAAGAAAGAGAAGAACAAATAAAACAGGTTTCTCATGCAAACTAAAAAGATAGATAGTAAAAAAAATAAACCACTTTGAGGAAGAAGGTAGGGAAACAAAACATTTTCCCCACAAAGCAAGCTGCAGACACAACCATATGGAGCTGCCCGTTTAGCAAGCTGTGGAAACAGAGCGCAAAGCTTTTGAAGAGGTTGCCAGAAACCAATCTGAGATTATCTCCCTTACAAAAGAAGCATGTGTTACTAACTTCATGTTTCTACCTAACTAAAAGCAAGCAAATCTTTTCAACTAACCACTATTACACTAATCACCCCTTCTGTTAGCTTTCTTGTCTTGCCTCATCTTTTTTCACCTTTTGTATGAAGGCCTCCAAAAAAATTGTTGTGCGCTACTAAAGCAACTCTTCTTCTACCTGGCCTTCCTTTACCAAACACGTAAATGCTACGAGAAAGCCTGTTGCTTTTTGTCCCCACTCCCATGAAACACAGAGTACTTATTAGGGCATGCAGGGTTTCTACATCTGAAAAAAGAACTGTTGGGAAATCTGTGGCATTCCGAGACTTGGAATATTCAGAAAGAGCACAGCTCTGGACTGGAAGCCTTAGAAAAATCAACTACTGCATATTCACCAAAATCCATCCAACTTTCTCACTGATGCATCACAACTACCACATAGATCTGTGCTTTGAGATGCTACTGCTGTAAAAATAGCAACTCTTACTGCTAAATCCAGTACTGGTCTTGGTCATGCTGGCACTGAAGATGCGTTTTGGTTCCTGGTGGTGGAACTGTCATAGGGCCAGCCCCATGGACTGATATGCTTGCTGCATGTGGAGGCTACAGATGCAGCCAGTCACCTGTCCCCTCAATGGCTAAGAGGGATTTTGAAAGCGCTGACCTACATTTTGAAGAGCACAGCCAGGAATGGCCTATTGAGAGCAGCTGGACCTTCTGGGTCAAATAGCAGCATTCAGTTAAGGAAGCCATCACTTTAAGACCTTGCTGGATGAGATGCAATTTACCGGAACTGGGAAATGTCAGGAAAGTGGGAAAGATAGAGAAATAAGTAACTGCAGCGTGATTTTATTGTATTTATTTGTGAACAATATATAGGTTATAAAATGTATTTTTAGAAATAAATATCATGTGCAAAGATCAATTTTATGATGGAGGAAAAATGGATTACAAAAATTAGAAGGTGTAGACCCTACTGTATTCTGAAAACAGGTACTTCCATGGAGCCATACCTTTTATAAAACAGACAAAGCTCTAACTTTCCAGTTCTATCTCTGAGTAGTTCAGAAGTCAATCTACTACTCAAGACTGTTTATAAACCACAATAGTTTGATCCTATTACTTTGGTTTAATTTATGCTTGGCATAGGTTTCAACTAGAATCAACCAAAACTAACACAGAAAGGACCCTTCTGTTTCTGTACTCAGCAGCAGAAGTTATTTATTCTAAATGGCTTTAACTGGCTCCTAGCAGCCAACATGCAAGCACTCCCATGACTTGATAAAAAGTTACCTTTTAAAAACCCACAAAGAAAATGTCAGATCTCCCCACAGAGATACCTAACTACAGTATAATGAATATTATCAATACTTACATACAGAAGTAGCAGCAGAAATCAACCTTGTATTTGAAACTACACCAAATTCCTGAAGAAAAAGAATGGTAAATGAGGTGAACCACCTGAAACACCATAAACTCACACTGTTATCAAATTAAAATAACGGCTTCTTACTAAACTAGGTTTCTTTAGGTAGTATTTCTTTTCTTTCCCCCACCCCTTTTCCTTGCCTTTTTTTTTTCTTTAAGGTGAACAGGGTAAATTCTGAGGTAGAGAGTTTTCTCATCGATTAGTTACTTTGTTGTTTGAGTTGTGAGGAACAGTAAACATTTATGGAAGTTACTAAAGCCACAAAAGCTCAGTTGGCTAACACTCTACACATAAAATATACAAGATGGCTTCAAGAAGGAATGTTGTTTTTCCTTAACACAATTGGAAAGAAAACTGTCTTTAACTACCATTTTTTATTATGTTTCCATGAAGCCTTAGCTCCTCTGCTAAGACAGTCAGCAAGCTGAAAATTCTCTATACAGTGTAGTTTCAGAGAAGTGCATAGCTGAATCATTACTGCTACAGCTGCCCTCTAAAGCTGCAGAAGCTTTAGCGTAAGGAAGGCTGCACACACTTCTAGTATTTGTTATAAAATACAAGGTACATCTGTATACATACACACTATGCATGTACTTTCTTAAAGGCTTAATTAACAGGCTGATAAAAAAATACTCCTTCCAATACTCTTTTTCTCCTTTCCTTCATCTCTTCCAAACACTGAAAGGTATCACAGTATTTTTACAGACAACAGCATCAGATGTAGACACTGGTTTAGTGGGACTGCTTCTACCAGCCAGGGTATTTGAGTTCCTCCTGCAAAATTCATTAGTGCTGACATATCACAAATTGGCCAATTTGATTCTTTTTCATTATGCAGACACTTCTTAAACAGCTGAAAAATTTCTTGCATTACAGAGGACTCAGAGCAGCACCAGACAATGCTAACTCTTGGCCACACTCAAAGTGGATTTCTAATGGTGGAGGCATGGAGCCTCCTCACTGCTATCCCTAATGGGTCAGTTCCTTATGGTAATTTCTCAAAGACAGCGTATGAAGTACAACATGCTTTTAATTCAAGTAATGAAAGTGTGGTAAACTCTGAGGATCCCTCACTATATGGAAGGGAAAAGGATAATCAGGAAAAAATGTCAAATTATGTTTTAAAGTTTGAGTAAACATAAATAAGGAAAAACACACCAGAAAGGAGACACTGCACAATTTAAGATATAGCGTAGTTAAATATGTAAACACTGTATCACGGTGAAGCAGCCATTTAAAATACTCTTTCCAACTTTCAGAGGGCCTTCAGGGTTAGTAATTCAAACAAAATTACAGAAGATCAAATACTAAACAACATGTTTGAAGGCCTTCTCTTTTCTTAAATTGCTATAGAGATAAATACAAAAAAGAGAAGGTTTCAACCCCCAGAGCATGAAGAACGGGAAAAAATTCAAAAGTCCTACACGTTTTCTCTCTCTTATACATCACATTTTACATTAAAAAATTGTAATACTTCATACCTCTACTTTGGATGCCAAAAACACACACGTAGGAGCCATTAATACTGGATCTATACTTTTTAGGGAATATCTGAAATGTTATAACAAAATTATAATATGTTGTTTCATACATGTAGAACGATTAATCTATTAAGAGCACCACACTTCCTTTTGAAAAAGCAAAGCTTAAGTTAACTTTATTAGCATAAAAGCTTTACACGATCCAGAAAACAAAAGTGGCACTGTTTTTAATACAGAGCTGTATTTTAAAAGGGCTACCAAAATGTGCCTAGCAAATGTTTTATTCTTGTACCATCATAGTAAACAGTCCTACCTGGCATAGAATCTCTTGAAGTAGACTGTAGCAGTGGCAATAACTTGTTGTCTTAATTTAAGATGTTCACCTAAAGCCTGGATAACTTAAAAAAAAAATGAACAAAAACTTGAGTTGAGTATTTACAACAATTTGACACCAATAGCAAAGGACCTCAAAACACAACTAGTGCTGGGGATCCTACGGAGCAGCAGCACAGTCTTCTCCCTCAGTTCAAAAACGTTGTTCTGGTGAGACCACCCGTCACTGCAAACCTACAGACCTGCAGGTGAAGCAGCAGCACTGCATCCTGAAGCTTGTGAATACCTTTAAAAACCCAAAGTTAACTTGACTTCCTTGTGTACAAGTGAATACAACCTTTGAGATGACAACACAAATCTCAGAAGGGTAAAGCTTCATTATTCCATTGTAGAGCGAAACAGATTTAGACCCTTAAAATACAAATCTATGGCTTTTCAGTGCCATGCAAAATGGATGGGCTTTTTTTCAAACAACTGAAGCTGCCAACACAAACGTGGTCATTAAATTTGGCAGAGGCAGCAGGTGTTAAAAAAATGACATATTTAGTCTAGGGAGACGGGGTGGGAGACCAGAGGATGCAGTCAGCTGCTCCATCACAGTGGTCCTCTGCCAGTTGGCCAAGAAACAACCCTGGTGTCATCTGTGCAGGTAGCTCTTGTTTGGCCTTCCAGGCAAAGGAAAGGTGCCAAGCAAATTAGATGCATCAAGCTGGGATTAAGAGCAGGGGTTGGATACAGAGAATGGCAGAGTGAAACATAAGGTTGTTACTTGTTATTTTTCCCATACTTCTTTGCAGCCATTATTCTGAGCACAGCTTGGCTGTGTCAAGACTTCTTCTTCTTTTTCTTTTTCTCCTCCCTCACCAGAAATGTCCACAAGAATAATTTTAATACGCACATATTTAAAATACATACAGCAAGATCAAGACAGTGATCACCGATGGGGAAAGCAAACAATGCCATTATCAGTTATTGCTAAATTCTTAGTCCCTACTTAAGCACACAAGTCCAGATTTTTTCCCCTATGCTCTCACACCGTATCCATTGGGAACAGTCAGAGTACGCCCTACTCTCACTTTTAATGAGCATCACAGCATTTAAAAACACGGAAATATCAAGGACGCTGTTGGCCAGAAAAGGGCTGAATGTAGAAGAGGACAAAACCACCCTGAACAGCACTGATGATTGGCAATTTTTTTTTTCTTCACGGGAAAAATTGCTACCTATTATGATGACCCGAAGCAACATTAAGCCCTTGTCCATGTCATATCACTCTTTTTCTAAAAAGAAGAATGCCAAGTTAAGACTAGCTTGCCAGTGACAGTAGGACAAGCAATACTGCTAGAAATGAGGTTAAGCCCAGTATGTAATGTCTGTACAAATATTAAAATATTTATCAGTGTATCTTGGGAGGTTTTAAAGGATTTTCCCCTTTGATTTGACCATGGGGCTACAAAGCTGTCCTACTACTAGGGCATGAGAAAAATTCAAATATTAAGCTAAACAGAATTCTCCAAATATGTTTCTCACTCCCATGGGATTTTCAGGAACGGTTAAGCCATCTGCTGTCAGAGAAAAATCAAGTGTGGTTTAGGGAAAAAAATGGACAAGAGCCTAGAGAGACTTAATGAAATGGAAGCTTGTAGATGCTGGGCAAGAGTCCAATAGTTGCAATTATTTTCTAAAATATTTTAAAAGAAGTTATTGGATTATTTATTCCCTTATGTTTATAAAGTAAGTGGATTCAGTGAGGTTTTTTAAAATAAAAGTTGTTTTAAATCTGAATATATTGAGTAGCCTGTAAGACAAACATTACTATTTCTGCCCTAAACCAGAAAGGGAAATCAATTAATGCACTTTTCAACTATTCTATTAAAACTTGGTGATCCAAAGAGAGAAATCAACATCAGTTTCCTTTTCTGAACTATTTCAGAAGAGAACCGTTTTCATTCCCTACAGTATTGATATTCTGAGTAGTTGTACACGGCCATACAATCAGCTGGTGATCTATTGCACTTGTTTTTCCAATGAGGAGGCAGCAGGAAACTGCCTCTCTCTAGGCAACTTTTTGGTTGCTTTAGGGGAAAAAACCAACTCCTGGGCAGACACACTGCTGAACGTGACCAGCCATGGCCAAGACCCATATCCTTACCCAGGTAATGCAGGAGGTGGGAGGCTCTGTAAACCCAGAACAGGGTCCCTATTCAGAGGCAGGTCATGATGCAACACACACCAAGGGCTTGAACAGGGCAAGTTCTGCCTGAGCTCCCACCAGCACAGAGCAGCCCCTGATGGTCCTCCCCATCAAGGTGCCCGTTTTGCTACAGAAGGGGTAAAAGCCCAGCATCACCCTTTCCTCTGGGGTTAGGCTGTGTTTGTACACACAAGAGGGAGCTGCTGGCAGAGCTGTTCTCCACAGTGTACCTTCAGGGGAGACGAGGAACGTCAAGGAAAAGGAGCTCAAGAACCACAAACTGAAACCACCTTGTCTGCTTTGTAAATCTTTGTTGACTCAAGAAAAATACTGAAGTGAAAAAGCATTTAAAAGTTAAAAGCCTTTAAAAAAGCGTATTTCATAATTCAAATTAATACCAGTGAAAATTAGCATAGAAATACAGTTCTAGAAATATCAGTATCCTGTTTTCTCTTTTTGCATTATGAAGCTGTAAGACTTTGTTTTAACCTCAAGGAATTTCAGAAATTGATCAAATAGGTAAATCATTGCTAGCTTGATTTCCCAGTGCCATATAAACAATAACACAGACGTATCCACAGCAATCAGATTTGCAGCATACACAATTACTATAAAAACAGCCGAGCTAAGAGAGAAGCTGTGGTAAGTATCTTTCACAGATACCATTCCAGCACTGACATGAGATCTTCCAGTGGCCTTGGGAAAGTAATTTAACTTCTCTGTGTCAAGTCTGGCCAGCAAGCTGAAAAAATTAAGCATTCTGTATTTTAAAGGACTGCTATGAAAAATATTTAAAGAGCTGTCTGCAAAAAAATTACTGCTTAGCAATACCCTAATACTGCTTAGGGAGATTTTTTTTAATGCTCAACAATTGCAGAGAAAAGAGTTTAAGTGCCTGTGTAATCTGATATGCTTCAGTGTGGCCATTCATACAGTTATAAGCTTTGGAGAATCAAGTAAGTCTTCGATAACTTCACAGACAAGCCCCAAATGCTTTGGGAAAACAGGCTGCCTGCCAACAGCTCTCAGAAACTTGCAGACAATTTGAGAGCCACCCAGTGCTGGCAAATCAGTCACAGGTCAAGACACAGGCTGTGGTGCAGGTTTCGAAGAGCAGAACTGAACACAAATAATGAATTTCCAAGCTTTGCTGTTTAACAGAACTGCACAGATCAGCGAAAATACTTACCACAGTCTAAAAGCCCACCAAAAGCCCAGTTTGAGTACTAATACTTGGCACTGAGCCTTTAAAATGCTAGCTTAGCAGCTTCTGCTTGCTTCTTCTCCTTTTACATTTTTGGTAAGAAGCTCTTGAAAATAAGAAAATGTACTATGTCTTGTCCCATCACAGGTTAAAACATTACATATGCAGCTAATCTGCCTGTAAGTTCTAAAATTGTGTTAATACAACTAACAAATTACAATGTTCTTGATATTCTAGTTCTTTGTTAAAATAAGTTGTGAAAGTATACGTAATATTGCAATGAAAAAATTACATCTTCCAAGCAATTCAAACTTGTGTTTGGACATGGCAGAAACTGTACAGATTTTATGGCAGAAATAAAAACAAAACAGTTTTACCATTAGTAAAAAATATCTGCAGTTTCCAATATTCTTCTTCAGTCAGAAATTTCAAGTCTTTCTGGCGTTCCTTCAACAGATCTTGTTTATCCAAAATCCATTGTAAACTAAAGGAAGGGAAAATTATTTCAGCAACTCTTTGTCAACGTTACACCCAGCACCTTCTGTACAGACTAAGGATTGGGGCTCAAAGCCTTGTGACCTTTTACCCAAACCACAATCTCCTCACCAGGGTTTTCAAACTTAGACAACTTTAAACAAAATATAATAATAATAAACAACCCACTAACTAGCAGGGATCGAGATGAGCCTTCACCTGGGGTAAACTAAACTGGCTGCACAGCCCTCATGTGCTGTCGGTTCCCAGAAAGGTTTATGTTATATTTAGTGCACCGCGGGCACCCATTTAAACACGAAGCTGGAGGTAAATTTAGCGCAGTCCAGGGACTGCAACTGCGCAGTTCAGGCCGAGGCACTGTGGGCACTGGCCGGAACGCGACCCGTCTGCCGGGGAGTCCCGACCCTGCCCAAGTCACGACACAGCGAGACGAGGTCGGCTGCCACGGCG